CTTTGGAGCCCGTCCGTGGGGTCCTGCATGTGGGGGGCTGAGGGGGGGGACAGCGATGCTCATCTGAAGGAGGTGATGCCCCGGCTGGGGAGGGGGGGGTTGATGGGGTCGGGGGGGCAGTACGGTGCGGGGCTCTGCTGCTGCCGGAGGCACTGATGCTATTTTTCGGAGGGGGGGTCCGACACCGAATTTCTCTGGGGGCGGAACGGCGCTGCTGGAGGAACCGACGCCACTTTGGGGTGGGAGGAGGGGGGACAATGCCGACACCCCACGTCTCGGGGCTCACACCGCTCTCGGCTGGGGGCAGCACCGATCCCCATCCTCCATGGGTTCTCGCTCCGCCCCTCGCGCTCCGGCAGCCTTCATCCCTCCTCCTCCTCCTCCCCCCGCCCCATCCTCTTCCTCGGTCGCTTCCGGGCTCTCCCTCCTGCCGGGGACTTTGCTCGGGCTCCGCTCCCCGCATCAATCATCAACCCGGGGGGGAGGGACCGCCGCCATTCCCGGCCCCCCCAACCCCCCCCGTACCGCCCCCGCAGCGCTATGGCCGCCCCGGCCCACTTCCCTTTCAAGAAGCGGGGCAGCCTGCAAGCGGCCGGCCCCGCAGGTGAGCCCCCCCGCCCGTAATGCTGTGCCCGCGGTGGGGGGGGGGAGGACGTGCGTGGGGGTCTGGGTTCGCGTGTGCGCTGCGGGGCTGCGCCCATCACCGTCGGGGCTGCGCTCCTCCCGTGGGGGTTTGGGGGGGGGCGGTCCCGGTGTTGCGTCCCATCCCTTCCCATCCCTTCCCATCCCATCCCGTTTCCCCCCCCCCTCCATTAGGGCAGTGAGGGGTGGGTGTGGGGGGGGCTCTGCGGCGGTGCTGTGGCGCAGCGCTGTGTGCGTTGTGGGGGGGGGAAGGAGCAGGAAGAGGAGGAGGAGGAGGAGGAAGGCTGCGCTGGCACAGACGTGGGGCTGTGCCCCCCCCCTCAGTGCTGTGGATGGGGTCGGGTTGGTTCCCCGTGGCAGCTCGAGCGAGCTGTGACATGGGCACCTTTGGCAGTGCCGCGGGGGGGTCCCGCAGCTGAGCCCTGCTGTCGCTCCTCCTGCTTTAACACCCCCCCCTTATGCTGAGTAAGGTGGTGGGGGGAGATGGCGCTGCCTCCGTGTGCCCCCAGTGCTGTGGGATGCGGATCCCAGAGGGCTGTGGAGGGGCTGCAGACCCCCCCCCCCCGGGGCTCACACACTGTCTGTGCCTGCAGAGGTGCGGGGGGGCTCCCGGCCGTTGCAGTCGGCGCGTTCCCTGCCCGGCACCCCGCACTGCCTCAAGCACTTCCCAGTCGACCTGCGCACCTCCATGGACGGCAAATACAAAGAGATCGCCGAGGTGAGTCATCCCTGCACCGAGTCGGCCCGGTCTCAGCTTCGGGTGGGGGAGCGTTGGATGTTGGGGGGGGGCTCAGCTGCTTCCTGTTGCCCAGGACCACGTGTCCCTCCTCCACGTGCCGTGGTGGCGCCGTGCGCCTGATGTGTGCCGGCTGTGCAATGAGTTGGGGGTTGGAAGGAAGGGGATGGCAGCGGGCTGAGCCCCAGCTCAGCTCATGTCAGGGCTGGCAGCGGGCTGAGGACGGATGCAGCTCATGACGCGGTGCCCACACAGGAGCTGTTCTGCCGCTCGCTGGCCGAGAGCGAAATGCGGACGGCGCCGTATGAGTTCCCTGAGGAGAGCCCCATCGAGCAGCTGGAGGAGCGACGGCAGCGCCTGGAGCGCCAGATCAGCCAGGATGTCAAGTAAGGGGGTGTTTCCCCCCCCCCCCCCCCCCCCCCCCCCCCCCCCCCCCCCCCCCCCCCACCACCACTACCCTCCCCCCATCCCATGGGTGTCCCCCCCTCCTGGGGACGGCCACCGCCACCCCTGGGGCTGTCCGTCCTCTGTGCCCGCTCTGTCCTCTCCCGTGGGTGTCACGCTTGCTGTCTGATTTCCTGGTTTATTTGGTTCCGGGCTCTGTCCGTTCCTGTGGGGTATTAACGGGGTGTTTTCTCTCCCCCCTCCTCCCCCCCCCTCCCCTCCATCCACACCCCCTCTCTCCTCCCGGCCGTCCCCAGACTTGAGCCCGACATTTTGCTCAGAGCCAAACAGGACTTCCTGAAAGTTGACAGTGCCGCCGACTTACAGTGAGTGTCCGGCGCGGTGACACGGGGGCTCAGGGCCCCCCACCCCAAGCCCCAATCTTCCCCCCCCCTCCCCGCCCCCCCAGCAGCCCCAGCACAGAGCCAAGAGCTGCCCCGTGCCCTGTGCCCACGCTGGCACTGAAAGGGTTAACACGCCCGGGGCAGGAGGTGTAGGGATGGGATTTTGGGGTGATGGGGGCAATGGGCACAACGTGGCCCTGTCGTCCCCCGTCCCCCCCAGCACTGCGTGTCCCCTCCCTCCTGTCTCTGCTTGGGGCTGTCTGTGTCACGAGTCGTTTCGTTCTCTGTCCCACCGCCACCTCTCGTTGTGCTCTGTGGGGTTGGGGGATGCATCCGTGCGTTGGGGTCGGGGTGGGGGGGCACTGCCAGCCGGGGACGCCCCCAGCCTCCCCATCCTTGGGGGGGTCCCAGCGCCGTGCTGATGGCTGCACCCCCAGGCTCCTCAAGGAGCAGCACGAGGACCGCGTGGATCACATCCCCAAGGACCGCGAGGCGCTGCTGGAGCGCGAGTTCCAACGTGTCACCATCTCTGGGGAGGAGAAGTGTGGGGTGAGAACCCCCCCACCCCACAACGAATGGCACCCATTGGCCCCCCATGGATGATTTTTTTGGGATGAAACCCCTACTTGTTCTTTATTTCCCACCCCAGGTGCCCTTCACCGACCTGCTGGACGCGGCCAAGAGCGTGGTGAAGGCGCTGTTCCTGCGTGAGAAGTACATGGGGCTGTCCCTGCAGAGCTTCTGCAAGACCACTGCCCGCTTCCTGCAGGAGCTCTCCGAGAAGCCCCTGGAGACCCGCAGCTACGAGGAGGTGCCTGAGACCCCCGTGGCTGCCGGTGAGTGGGGGGCAGAAGGGCCCCAGCACCGGGTGTGGGGCTGCTCTTGGTGAGTTCCGTGGTTCCGTGCACTTTTTGGGGTCTCTTCTTGCTGCAGATGCTGCCGTGCACCCCCCGTTTGCAGAGCAGCACCCCTATGAGAAGTGGGACCCCCAGAGCATGCCGGCCGACCTGGGCTTTGGGCTGAAGATGGTGGATGGCGTGGTGCACGTCTACACCAAGCAGGACCTCACTGACAAGTAGGGGTGCACTGCAAAGCGTGGGGTGGGTGGTGGGAGATGTGGGGATGTAACCACCTCTGTCCCCCCCTCCCAGGAGCACGGAGCTGGACCTGCCCTACCCCGACCTGCAGGAGTTCATCGCCGACATGAATTTCCTGATGGCTTTGATCATCAATGGGCCCATGTGAGGAGCGGGGTCCCACGGTGGGGGTGGGCACCACGGGGCTGTGGCTGTGATGTGCGGTGCCAGCTCTCATCCCACGTCCTCACCTCCATCCTGGGGTCGTCGTGGGTGTGCACCAACCTTTGGGGAGGGATGTTCTGCCTTCTCTCCCCGCACTGACCGCTCTCTCCCCGCTCCCCTGGGCAGCAAATCCTTTTGCTACCGCCGCCTGCAGTACCTGAGCTCCAAGTTCCAGATGCACGTGCTGCTCAATGAGATGAAGGAGCTGGCAGCCCAGAAGAAGGTGCCCCACCGCGACTTCTACAACATCCGCAAGGTACTGCAGGGCTGCAGCTCTGCAACCCCCTGCTTGGGGGGGGGGGGGGAGGGGGCACCTGGGGGGCTTTTGGACCTGAGCACCAACTCTGCTTCCCAGGTGGACACTCACATCCACGCCTCGTCCTGCATGAACCAGAAGCACCTCCTGCGCTTCATCAAGAGGGCCATGAAGAAGCACCTGGATGAGATCGTCCACGTGGAGAAAGGCAAGGAGCAGACGCTCAAGGAGGTCTTTGAGACCATGAATCTCACCGCCTACGACCTCAGCGTGGACACTCTGGACGTCCACGCGGTACGGGGCCATCCCCAGAGCTTGGGGATGAGTGGGGCCTTCAGCTCAGCCCTGGCCATGGGGAGGGGGGAGTCGTCTTCTTCTCCAGGGTCATCCCACGGTGGTAGAGTGGTGGGAGATCTTTCTCTCTGTCCCGTGGTGCTGGGAGGTCTTCTTCTCCAGGGCCATCCTACAGTGGTGGGGTGGTGGGATGTCATGTCCAGTGCCATGGCACGGTGGTGGGATGGTGTGAGGTCTTCTCTGGGGCCATCCCACGGTGGTAGAGTGGTGGGAGATCATCTTCTCCGGGTCCATCCCACAGTGGTGATGGGGTGGTGGGAGGTGGGATCTCCTCCGGGCTGTCCTGCAGTGGTGGGAGCTGAAAGCCCTGAATGGGGGCTCTGTGTGTGGGAGGGGGGGTCTCACGTTTTTACCCCCATTCCAGGACCGCAACACTTTCCACCGCTTTGACAAGTTCAATGCCAAGTACAACCCCATTGGGGAGTCCATCCTGAGGGAGATCTTCATCAAGACGGACAACCGCGTCTCGGGGAAGTACTTTGCACACATCATCAAGGTGAGTCCCGTGTCCTCGTGGTGGCAGTGCCACCCCCATCCCTGTGCCTGCTGGCCGTGGCTGACGCTCTCTGTTCCCTCATCTGGCAGGAGGTGATGTCTGACCTGGAGGAGAGCAAGTACCAGAACGCCGAGCTGCGCCTCTCCATCTACGGCCGCTCTCGGGACGAGTGGGACAAGCTGGCCTGCTGGGCTGTCAACCACCGTGTTCACTCCAACAACGTCCGCTGGCTGGTGCAGGTGCCCCGGCTCTTGTGAGTGCCCATCCCTGGGGGTTTGGGTCCTGGTTTTATGGGGGGGGACCGAGGTTGGGGGCTGGGTGAAGTGGGACGCGGCGCTGGGCTCCAAGCGTTGTCCATCCATGCTCAGCGATGTCTACCGGACCAAGAAGCAGTTGGCCAACTTCCAGGAGATGCTGGAGAACATTTTCCTGCCCCTCTACGAGGCAACCATCCACCCTGCCCAGCACCCCGAGCTGCACCTCTTCCTGGAGCATGTGAGCACCGCACCCCAACCCTCACCCGCTCCCTCCCATCCTCGTGGTTGTGTGGTTGACCCACTCCCTCCCCTCCCTTACGGCTGGGGGGGTGAGTGTCCCACTTGGGTTTGGCACCCACAGGTGGACGGCTTCGACAGCGTGGATGACGAATCCAAACCGGAGCATCACATCTTCAACCTGGACAGCCCTCTGCCGGGGAACTGGGTGGAGGAGGACAACCCGCCCTACTCCTACTACCTGTACTACATGTATGCCAACATGACGGTGCTCAACCACCTCCGTAGGTAAGGACGTGAGGTCCCCACGGCCCTGGGGGGCTGGGGGATGTTGGGGTTGGGGGCCCATGGCTGTCCCTGTGCACAGGAAGAGGGGCTTCCACACCTTCGTGCTGCGCCCGCACTGCGGCGAGGCCGGCCCCATCCATCACCTCGTGTCGGGCTTCATGGTGTCGGAGAACATCTCACATGGCTTGCTGCTGCGCAAGGTGAGAGGGGCTGGGGGGCTCAGCCATGGGGTCTTGCTGCACTCCAGGACCCCCCCTTCACCCTGCCTTGCCCCCCAGGCCCCCGTGCTGCAGTACCTGTACTACCTGGCACAGATTGGCATCGCCATGTCCCCGCTGAGCAACAACAGCCTCTTCCTCAGCTACCACCGCAACCCCCTCCCCGAGTACCTCTCACGGGGGCTCATGGTCTCCCTCTCCACCGATGATCCCCTCCAGTTCCACTTCACCAAGGTGAGGTTGTGGGGGAGGGGCTGAAGGTCACCAGCCTCTCCCCACCCAGAATAGTTTGGGGCAGCCAACAGGATGGGGTTGGCAGTGGCCGTGTCCATGGGGATGGGTTGGCTGTGGGGTCAGTGGTGGCCATGGGAAGGAGTTGGTGGCCGTGTCCATAGGGATGGGGTCAATAATGGCCATGGAGTTGGTGGTGGCCATGGGAAGGAGTTGGTGGCCATGTCCATAGGGATGGGGTCAGTGATGGCCATGGAGTTGGTGGTGGCCATGGGAAGGAGTTGGTAGCCGTGTCCATAGGGATGGGGTCAGTGATGGCCATGGAGTTGGGGGTGGCCATGGGAAGGAGTTGGTGGCCACGTCCATGGGGATGAGGTCAGTGTTGGCTGTGGGGTCAGTGGTGGCCATGGGAAGGAGTTGGTGGCCACGTCCATGGGGATGAGGTCAGTGGTGGCTGTAGGGTCAGTGGTGGCCATGTGAAGGAGTTGGTGGCCATGTCCATGGGATGGGGTCAATAATGGCCATGGAGTTGGTGGTGGCCATGGGGAAGGAGTTGGTGGTGGCATGGCCATGGGGATGGGGTCAATAATGGCTGTGAGGATGGGGTCAGTGATGGCCATGGAGTTGGTGGTAGCCATAGGAAGGAGTTGGTGGCCATGTCCATTGGGATGGGGTCAGTGATGGTCACGGGGTTGGTAGTGGCCATGGGGATGGGATGGGGTCAGTGGTGCCCACGGCCATGGGGTTGGTGGCCATGGCCATGGAATGCAGTCGGTGGTGGCTGATAGGATGGGCTTGGCAATGGCCCAGAACAAGAAGGAGCCACCAAGTTCTGGAGGATTCTGGAGGTCCAGAGGGAATGGGAGAACCTTAGAACCCCCCTTTCTGTGTGGGGGGAGGTTATGGGGCTGTGCTAAGGCCCCACATGCCCCCCCAGGAACCGCTGATGGAGGAGTACAGCATCGCCACGCAGGTGTGGAAGCTGAGCTCCTGCGACATGTGCGAGTTGGCCCGCAACAGCGTCCTCATGAGCGGCTTCTCCCATAAGGTACCACAACCCCCCCCCACCCTGGGGACCCTCCGGGTGGCTGCAGGTTCCCCCCCCCCCACCACCCCTTTTTTCTCTCTCCCCCCCAGGTGAAGAGCTACTGGCTGGGCCCCCACTACTTGAAAGAGGGGCCGGAAGGGAACGACATCCGTCGCACCAACGTCCCCGACATCCGCGTTGGGTACCGCTTCGAGACGCTGTGCCAGGAGCTGACGCTGATCACGCAGGCGGTGCAGAGCGCGGAGCTGGAGCCCATCCAGGAGGAGGACGCTCTGTCCATCACCCCCCCCACACCCACCCACTGACCCCTCCTTCCCCCCCGCCCCTTTCTTCACCCTCCCCTCCAACCCCAGTGCCATCCCCGGGGCTCCGTCCCCTCCTGCTGCCCCGGGTTGCCTCCACCCCGTTGTTGTGCCTCCCTTCTTCTTTTTTGTCTTTTTGTATTATTATTTTTTTTGGTGTGTGTGTCTTTTTCGGTCGTTTTTCACTGCTTTTCCCCCATCTGTGTTACACCCCGTGGGGGTGGGGGGGGGTGGCATTGCGTTGGGCGCTGCAGGGGGGGTCCTGGTGTCACCTCCTGCACAGTGACACACTGGGGGCCATTGGGGGTGGGGACACAGCCTTACACCCCCCCCTTTGTCCTCCCCCCAGCATCCAGCCGTGGGTCCCAGTATTTTTACTAGCCCCCCCCCCCCGCCCCTTTTTGCCTCTCCGTCCAGTTTCTCGCCCAGAGGGAACCCAACCCCCCCCAACCCGTGCGTTATGGGGGGGCACATCGTGCTGGGGTCCGGGTGGCACAGAGAACGATGTGGGGCTGCCCATCCCCTGTGCTCCCTTTGAGGCTGAGGGGAGGGGGGGCTGCTCCCATAGCCGTGTCCCCACATCTCCCACCCCATCCTGTGCCC